TTGGGAAATTATTAAATCTTAGGATAAATATTTATCAAGGTTAAATGCAAATGCTTGGCTTGTGTTATCTAGTTCATTGATTTCTCTAATTCGGAAAGTCATTATTAAATTAAATTCTGGCGCTTGTCTGGGATTGTTTGGTAATGAGGATTAATTAGATTGCTTATTTCTAATTCATTAAAAGTAAGGAGAAATAGGAAATTGTTTCGAATGTGAAATTATTTTCCAATGATGAATACTAGAAGTATGAATTAATAATTATTTGTGGATCAATGACCAATTGTAAATCTCCAATGGTGGATGTTGACTTAGACCAAGGTTCGTTCTATTGATTTCATTTAATTCGATAATTTGCGTTTACATTAATTGCCATTTTTAATAATTGTTTGTTTCAAAACTAAAAACCCCCTTTTAAGTTAATTTAGCACAAAAGATAGACTAAACACTCTTCGTGAGATCGATCCTTACTTTCACTACTACATTTGTTTTGAGGAATATATGTTTTAATTTGTAGTGCCTGCGATAGCACACACCAAAATTTTGGCGCCATTGCCGGGGAGTGATTTGGTTTTTTTTTTTTGTGCTTTTTATTTGTTTCATTAGTTTTTGTTTTAAAAAATAAGATTTTGTTTATTTTGTTATTTTGTTTAGTACTTTTTTCTTTCTTTTTGCTTCTTTGATTGTTTATGCTCATAACTCGATCCTCCAACCAAGTTGATTTGCAGTACAATCTAGAAATAGAAAGAACTTTGCGTAGGTTGAGGATTGACATGGCTAGGAATCAAACTTTGAAAGAGCTTTCAACTCCGGATTTGCATCAACAACCCTTATGCATAACTTTCCCTAATTTAGATACTAATACTACTTTTGAATTAAAATCTGGATTAATACATCTTTTGCGTTCTTTTCATGATCTTACAGGTGAAGATCCCCGCAAACATCTAAAGGAATTACATGTGGTATGCACAAGTATGAAACTCACAGGGGTAATTGAATAGCAAATCAAATTGAGAGCTTTCCCATTTTCATTGAAGGATTTGGCTAAGGATTGGCTTTATTATCTACCATCCAGAAGTATTACCACCTGAGAGAAGATGGACAGGTTATTTTTAGACAAATATTTTTCATCTTCAAGGGTAGCAAACCTCCGAAAAGCAATTTGTGACACAATGCAGAACAGCAGGGAATCCTTACGTGAATACTGGGAGCGTTTCAAGCAACTATGTGCAAGCTGTCCCCATCATCAAATCAGTGAACGACTACTCATCCAGTATTTTTATGAAGGGCTTATACTCACAGATAGGAGTATGATTGATGCTGGAAGTGGAAGAGCTTTAGTAGATAAAACTCCCGAGAGTGGAGAAATTTGATTGCAAACATGGCAGCCAACTGTCAACAATTTGGCACTAGGCTCGACAGCCCTTCTGGACCTGTTAATGAGCTAAATGTTTCATCTATTGAATAACAACTTGCGAGTCTAACTTCTCTTGTTCGACAAATGGCTGCAGGTAATATGCAGACGACGAAAGCATGTGGTATTTGTTCGGTGGCAGGACATCCAACTAACATGTGCCAACTCTTTAAGAAGATGAACAAGTTAATGAAGTAGGGAGCTTTCCTGGACAACCACAAAGGAATTATAATCCTTACTCAAACACCTACAATCCAGGATGGAGGGGATCATCCTAATCTTAGCTATGAGAATCAACAAGTGAATCAATCAAACTTCCAGCAATACAGGCAGCCATATCCTCCTAGACAACAACAGGACCAAACTTCAAGTTCAGGTATGCATTTAGAAGATATTGTTAAGTCTTTGGCCACTAACACTTTATAATTTTAATAGGAAACAAAACAATTCCAATAGGAAGCAAGGGCAAGTATTAAAAGTTTGGAGATTCAAATTGGTAAAATGTCAATCACAATCAACAGAGTGGAAGCACAAGGTTCAAGAAAATTATCCGCTCAAACAATGGTCAATCTAAGGGAAAATGTAAGTACAATATTGTTGTGGAATGGTAAGGAGATTGAAATTCCAAAAGCAACCCTTAACATCATTGGAGCAGGAAAAGAAGAAAGATGTCACTGAAGAAAAGAGTGTTCCCAACGATGATGGCATACCTAAGCATAAGTTTCCACCCCTTTCTGAGTATAAATCAGTGCCCCCTTTCTCTCAGGCTTTAGTAGAACCTAGGAAAGATGAAAATAATCATGAACTTTATGAAAGTTTTCGCAAGCGTGAGGTAAACATTCCATTGTTGGATGCTATTAAACTAGTACCTTATTATGATAAGTTCTTGAAGGAATTGTGTACCATTGAAAGAAAATAAAAACTTAAAAGGTGTGAAAAGATAAACGTAGGGAAAATTTTTCTGCAATCATTCAAAGAAATCTCCCTACAAAGTGCAAAGATCTAGGTATGTTTAGCATCCCTTGCACAATAGGTAACACTATGTTTGAAAAGGCCATGTTAGACTCAGGAGCTTCTATTAATGTCATGCCATACTTTGTATATGTTTCTTTAAAACTTGGACCTTTGAATGAAACTGGTGTCATAATTCAACTAGTTAATAAATCTAATGCCTATGCTAATGGTATAGTTGAGGATGTTCTCGTGAAAATTAATGATTTGGTTTTTCCTGCTAACTTCTATGTGCTTGATATGGGATATAGTGGTCAAACTATCCCCATTTTGCTAGGAAGACCATTCTTAAGGACATCCAAAGCTAAAATAGATTTTTATAGTGGCATGCTTACTATGGAATTTGATGATAAAATTAGTGAATTTAACATTTATGACGCCATGAAACATTCTGATGAAAGTAACCCTGTTTATTCTAGTCAAGTGATTGATAATTTAGAACAAGAAGTTTTAGAACTTGATGAAAACAATGCAATGAAGTTGCCATTGATAAGCATATTGAGGATGTGAATCAGGAGTTACTCTCG